CCAAACCGGCCAGGGCGGTTTTAACTTTTTGTAATAAAAATATGTAATGCTCCTTGTTAAACATCTTAGATAATATAGGAAGGTACAAAGAAAAACATATAAGTTGTCCATAAGCCCATTTTTCAGAGGTTACCATTGTTAATAATGGATATATTTCCTTCTACACATTTTTCTACACTTATTTGTATATGTGTGTATGCATTTATATTTCAAAAATGGGATGGACTGTTTTTCAGTCTGCTTATATTATTTGGCAATGGTAAACATTTTCCTGTTTGATAAATCAGTCTCTGAAAGCATCACTTTTAGTGGCTTTATCCTGTTCTGTCATGAATATACCACATATTATCTATCTAGTTCCTTACTGTTGAGCACATGGGTTGCTCCATTTTTCAAAAATTTTATGAAGAATACAATAGAGAATATTTGTGGAACTTAATCTTTGGGTGTATTATTGTGTTCTTGTTCTTCTCAGATAAATTCTGAGAAGTGTAATTGCTGGGCAATTCGTCTCACCTTTTTAAAATTTAATTTTTTTTTTAACTTTATTGTTGAATGTATTATAGATGTCCCTCCTTTTTTCCCCCCTTCACACCCTTCTCCTCACTCCCACCCCCTCCTGCCTTCCCCACACTATTGTCTGTGTCTATTGGTTATGCATATATGCATATAAGTCCTTTGGTTTCTCTCTTCCTGTTCCACCTCCTCCTTTCCCTTTGAGGTTCCTCAGTCTAACAACCAGTTTGTATTTCTTAATCCCTTCATCTTTTTCACCCAATCCCCCTCCCATCTGGCAACCAACAAAAACTTCTCTGTATCTATGAGTCTGTCTCTGTTCTGCTTACTTATTTTGTTTATAGATTCAATTGTTGATAGGTATGTATTTATTGCCATTTTATTGTTCATATTTTTTATCTTGTTCTTCAAGAAGACCTGTCAACATTTCATATAATACTGGTTTGGTGGTGATGAACTCCTCTGGCTTTTTCTTGTCTGGGAAACTTTTTATATGGCCATCGATTCTAAATGATAGCTTTGCGGGATAGAGTAATCTTGATTGTAGGTCATTGCTTTTCACCACTTTAAATACTTCTTGCCACTCCCTTCTGGCCTGCAAAGTTTCTTTTGAGAAATCGGCTAATAGCATTATGGGAGCTCCATTGTAAGTAACTGCTTTTCTCTTGCTGCTTTTAATATTCTCTCTGTCTTTAACCTTTTACATTTTGATGATGATATGTTTTGGTATGGACCTCTTTGGGTTCATCTTGTTTGGAACTCTCTGTGCTTGCTGGACTTGTATATCTGTTTTCTTCACCAAATTAGGGAAGTTTTCTGTCATTTTTTAAATTTTTTATCCTCACCCAAGGACATTTTTTGATATTTTGTTCAGATAGAGTGAGAGGGAGAGAGAGAGAGAAAAAAAACATCGACGTGAAAGGGACACATCGAGTAGCTGCCACCCACACAACCCAACCAGGGCTGGAGACAAACTGCAACTGAGGTACGTGCCCTTAGCGGGAACCGAACCCGGGTCTCTTGGGACCGAAGGCTGACGCTCTAACCACTGAGCCAAACTGGCCAGGGCTATTTTTTCAAATAGGTTTTCAATTTCTTGCCCTCTCTCTTCTCCTTCTGGCACTCCCATGATGTGAATGTCGGTATGCTTGAAGTTATCCCAGAGGCTCCTTACACTATCCTCATTTTGGGGGGATTCTTTTTTTTCTTTTTGCTGTTCTGATTGGGTGTTTTCTGCTTCCTTATCTTCCACATTGATGGTGTCACCTACTCTACTATTGATTCCCTGTAAATTCTTTTTTGTAGTTGTTGTTGTTTAATCCTCACCCGAGGACATTTTTCCATTTTTTATTCAGATAGAGCGGGAGGGAGAGAGAGGAAGTGAGAGGGAGAAACATGATGTGAAAGGGACACATCAAATGGCTGCCACCTGCACGACCCAACCAGGGCCAGGGACAAACTGCAACCGAAGTACATACCCTTAGTGGGAACCGAACCCGGATCTCTCTGGACCGCAGGCCCATGCTCTAACCGCTGAGCCAAACTGGCCAGGGCTCTCTTTTTTTTTTCTTTATTGATTTCTAGAGAGAGGAAGGGAGAGAGAGAGAGAGAGAGAGAGAGAGAGAGAAACATCAATGAGAGAGAACATTGTTTGGCCGCCTCCTGCATGCCTCCCACTGGGGATTGGGTCCACAACCTGGGCATGTGCCCTGACCGGGAATCAAGCCAGCGATCTCTTGGTCCATGGGTCGATGGTCAACCACTGAGCCACACCAATCGGGCTCTGTAAATTATTCTTTATTTCAATTAGTGCATCCTTCATTTCTGACTGGTCCTTTATTATGCTCCTGAAGTCCTTGAAATTCTCACTAAGTTCATTATAAGCACTGTTTTGAACTCTGCATCTGTTAGATTGCTTATCTCCATTTCATTTAGTTCTTTTCCTGGAGTTTTGTTCTGTTCTTTCATTTGGGACATGTTTCTTTGTATCCTCATTTTGGCTGCCTCCATGTGTTTGTGTCTATGTATTACGTCGAGTTGCTATGTCTTCTAGGCTTTCTAGGGTGGCCTGTTATAGTAGATGTGCTGTAGGGTCCAGTAGCACAGCCTCCCTGGTCACCCAGCTGGGCCCTCAAGGTGCACTCCTTGTGTGGACTTTACACCCTTCTGTTGTAATTGAGTCTTGATTGCTGTTGGCAAATTAATGGAAGGGTTTGACTCAGGCTGATCAGCTGCAAGTACTGGCTGTGCCCACTAACCAATGACTTTTGACTACCTTGGATGATCAGCTGTGCAGGGGCCCACCACACAGAGCAAGACATACTTCAGCAGGGCTCTGGTACCCAATGAGTCCATTTCTTGAGTGTGTCACTTGTGGAGGTGCTTGGGTGGTGGTGCTTTGATGTGGTCTGAAGCTAACCACTGGGTGTGCTGGCTCTGGGGCAAGGTTAGCCACTGCTGTGTTCTACCCAGGGCCACCGGGCATAAGCTACAAATGGCTGCTGTTTGTGCTGGGCTTGGAGGTGCCTAGGCAAAGCCAAGCTTGAACCAAGGTTGCCTGCTGTTACTGCCAGGCCTGGGGCCACTTAGTAAGAGGTATGGGGCTTGCTGTGGCCAGATACTGATTGTTTGAGAGAATTTAGGAAAATCTGAAGCAGGAGCCAAAATAGGCCAATCCTATGATAAAGCCCCTGGAAACATCTTGGGTGGGCCTGAAAGTTGGGTGGGGCAGGGCCTCAGGGAATCACCAGGGCAGAGCAAACAGTGTGAGCCAGGTTTCTGGAGTCCTAGATATGGCGGTATCTGCCAGCTTCGTGGGGGAAGGGCTCCCCAAGAGAACAATGGCCTATCTAGCATGTCTGTCTGGGAGAAAGCTGCCTCTCCAGCCCTTGCCCTGATGCCAAAGAACTGAGTTCTTCCCTGTATGTCTCTGGTGCCTTTCAAGCTGCCTCCCCTCCGTGCTGGAGCCTGAAGGGTGTGAGTCCAAGTAAGTCCCTTTAAGAGAAACTGCCTGGGGCTCTAGAAGCCTCAACATTCCTCAGCCTCAGTACCCACATCCCTCAGCCTCAGTTCCTGCTGGTTTTTACAGCCAGAAGTCTATGGGACTTCTCTTCCTGGTACTGGAACCCTAAGCTGGGTTCCTGGTATGGGATGGGGACCCCTCACTCCTCAGGGAGGACCTTTCCAGCCGAGGTATCCTCCTGGTTTATTTATTTATTTTTTGGTATGTGCCCCTAAGGGGAACCGAACCCTCAACTCTCTGGTCCGCAGGCCGATGCTCCAACTGCTGAGCCAAACTGGCCAGGGGTCCTTCTGATTTTTTAAAACAATAATTAATTTTTATTACAGATGTCTCATGTGTCCCCTCCCTCCAAGACACCATCCTCCCTATCCCACCCCTCCCTCCTGATTTTTATCTACATGGGTGTGGGACCAGTCTGTCAGCGCCTCTGCCTCTGCCTCTCCTACCAGTCTCGGTGTGGCTTCTTTAATTTCATAATTGTAGGTCTTCCATTCAGCTTGATTTCAGGTAGTTCTGAAGGATAGTTGTTCTATAGTTTAGTTGTAATTTTGATGTGGTTGTGGGAGGATGAGTACTGTGTTCACCTATGCCGCCACCTTGACCGGAAGTCCCTCTCACCTTTTTTCAAGGTGTTTTTTTTTTTCCTTTGATTTTAGAGAGAGAGGTAGGGAGAAAGAGAGAGAGATAGAAACATCGATGGGAGCCCTGGCCGGTTTGGCTCAGCGGTTAGAGCGTCAGCCTGCAGTCGGGAGAGATCCGGGTTCGGTTCCCGCTAAGGGCACGTACCTTGGTTGCAGTTTGTCCCCGGCCCTGGTTGGGTTGTGCGGGTGGCAACCACTCGATGTGTCCCTTTCACGTCGATGTTTCTCTCTCTCTCTCTCTCTCCCTCCCTCCCTCCCTCCCTCCCACTCTATATGAACAAAATATCGAAAAATGTCCTTGGGTGAAGATAAAAAAAAAAGGAACATCGATGGGAGAGAACATTGACTGGCTGCCTCCTGCATGCCCCCCACTGGGGATTGGGCCTACAACCTGGGCATGTGCCCTGACCGGGAATCGAACTGGTGACCTCTTGGTGCATGGGTCAACACTCAGCCACTGAGCCACACTGGCCAGGTATTTCTTATTTATTTATTTCTCACCTGAGGACATTTTTCCATTTTTTGTTCAGATACAGTGGGAGGGAGAGAGAGAAAGAGAGAGAGAGAGAGAGAGAGAGAGAGAGAGAGAGAGAGAAACAGAGAAACAGAGAAACATTGACGTGAAAGGGACACATTGAGTGGCTGCCTGCCACACGACCCAACCAGGACCAGGGACAAACTGCAACCGAGGTACATGCCCCTAGCGGGAACTGAACCCGGGACTCTCTGGTCTGCAGGCCGACGCTCCAGCTGCTGAGCCAAACTGGCCAGGGCTTTATTTCTTTATTAATATGACATGGAGTATTTGCCTGGGTTTTTAGGACAGAAAGATGCCACCCAAGCGTATGGCTAAGAAAAGATCATCCCCAGAAGATGCTCTCCCCAAAAGCAAGAAGGTGAAAGGTAAGTTGGCCTCTATCTTAGTATGTATGGCATCTTGAAGACCCTAAAATTAGGGACTGGGCTCCTTTCTCCCTGATATTTGAAGTTGAGAGGCCTGGAAGTACAGGGACTGCACCCAGTTGGAGAGTCTCCGTAGGTCATTAAATCCCACCCTCTAGGAATCATAAAGCAGAGACTTGTCTAAAAGCACTCAAGTAGGACTAGTAAAAAACTAGGCCCTTGCCCCAGGCAGTAGTGGGTTTGGATCACTGACTTCCAGATATGGGTTCAAGTCCGGCCCCTGCCACTTTTTAAGTGTGTAACTTTAGGTCAGGTATCTTAATCTCGCTGAATTTATATTACCCCTTTCTTGAAATAAGAGGCAAGAACAGTACCACCCTCACCAGGCTGTTGTGGGGAAAATGAGATAATGTCTGGGCATTATTTGAGGGAGGTGGCTATGGTTTCCTCTTTCCTGGAACCCTCAAGGGAGATAGGGAGGAAAGATCCACCCCCGATCTGGGAAGGGGGAGTGTGGACCCACACTCAGACAGTGTATATCTTTTGCAGACCCTCGTAACCAGGCAGTGAGGGCCGTTGCCTCCCACCGCGTTCCCGGTGCCTGCTACTCCCGAGGTGCCTGCAGGCTGAGCCCTCCTGACCAGAAAACTCGACCAGGTGGCTCCCTGCCCAGTGTACTGCCTCAGAGGCCCTGGCAACCCCTGGGGGAGGGGCTGGACGCCATTGGCTGTCTGGGGCCACGGGTGGTTGCCATTGGCCAGCAGATGGCCGTGGGCCACCCACTGGTTGGCACTTACCTCTGCAAGTACCTATGTCAGCTCTTATTGCTGCCCCTCCCTCTTCAGCTGCAGCTGTATGTCAGCACCCCATGGAAGTTGTCAGTGTGAATATGTTCAGGAGATGTCACATCCTGAGGATGAAGGCTAGGGACTGTGCTCAGACCCATGTAGGCTCCCTTGGTTTTGGTGTAAACACTATTACTAATTAGCTCTCTTAACCTCTGAGGCTCTATTCCCTTTTCTATAAAACAGAATCTTAAACATGGAAGGTCTGTAGCATAATTTTGAGGACTACAAAGCAATTTAATGTTAGTAGCATAAGCAGTCAGTACAGGGTAGACATTATTATCTGAGTTCTCACTTTTGGCACCATGATGCCTTATTGAGAACTTACAGCTAATTAGGAAAACTGTCTTGTGTGCTCACTGTTCTCCCCACCAAGATTCATTTCACAATATGGAGTATCTCCTTGTTTCCATTACCTTCCTCAATGTGCTCAATTTTTATTTTTATTATTTTCCTTTATTGATTTTAGAGGGAGAGGGAGAGAGAGAGAAACATCGATGAGAGAGAACATCGATTGGCCGCCTCCTGCATGCCCCCCACTGGGGATTTGGCACACAACCTGGGCATGTGCGCTGACTGGGAATTGAACCGGTAAACTCTTGGTGCTCAACCACTGAGCCACAATGGCCAGGCCTCAATGTGCTCAGTTTTTAATCTTTACACACACCCTATGAGATAGGTATTTCTATTATCTGCATTTCACAAATGAGAAAACTTCGGCTCGGAAAGGTCGTACTAATGGTCTGTGGCAGAGCAGGGGTTTGAACCCAGGTTTGTGTGATCCTAGAGCCCATGCAGTGACACACACGGGCTGTTTTCTTCACCCCTCAGTCTCACATAGGTCCCACCGCACAGAACCGGGCTTGGTGCTGACACTGGGCCAGGGTGATGTGGGCCAGCTGGGACTGGGCGAGAATGTGATGGAGAGGAAGAAGCCAGCCCTAGTACCCATTCTGGAAGACATTGTACAGGCCGAGGCTGGGGGCATGCACACCGTGTGTCTAAACAAAAGTGGCCAGGTAGGTTGGGGGGTGGAATGGGATTGGACAGGGTCTGGGGTTGGGGCCTTGGAGATGGAGCTGGCTAGTTGACTAGGGGGTGGTCTGAACAAGAAAGGACTGAAAGGTCAGATCTTGCACTAATGGGGACATCCTGGGCACAGGTCTACTCCTTCGGCTGCAATGATGAGGGTGCCCTGGGAAGGGACACATCAGTGGAGGGCTCAGAGATGGTTCCTGGGAAAGTGGAACTGCAAGAGAAAGTGGTCCAAGTGTCAGCAGGAGACAGTCACACAGCAGCCCTCACCGATGATGGCCGTGTCTTCCTTTGGGGCTCCTTCCGGGTAAGATGGTCTGGAAGACTACTTGGGGGCTGGCAGACAGAATTAACTGGTGGGGCTCCAAGGATGTCCCATTTCCATGCCTCTGTTGTACTTACTGGTGGAGAAATCAAGTCCTAGAGGTAGAGCTTACGCCCAGACCCAGGTCTCTGGCTTCATTCAGGCCTGTGCACACACTGGCTCTTTCCTTGAATCTGATGTTGTGAAGTGTGTGTCTTGGGAAAGGGGTGAGTCAAGGATGTCTTTGGGCCGAGACCGATCCAGGAGCCTGTTGTCCTCACCCATCTCCCTACCTTCGACCTCTCCTCCTCCCTTCCCAGCCGTCTTCCACACTTCTCAGGGGCATTAGGGGACTTGAGGGGGAAATTGTCACACCTCAGAATTTCCAAGACACAGGAGTGTAGTTTAAAAAGTAGATTCAGCATTAAAATTATTTTGATACTTTGGTATTTAATATATTTTAAAATGTCAAAAATAAAGGAATCTGATGAGGTGTTTCCTCATCATGGCTAATTAAAAAAAAAATTATGGAGAATTTCAAACACATAAAAGTAATCAGAATAATATATTGGATGGCCATCTACTCAACAATTATCAACCTTTGACCAAACTTGTTTCCTCTCTCCTCCCTTGCACTCCCCCACTCCTTTGATATTTTATTGCAACTCATAGACCATGTATGATTTCATTCATAAGCATGTCACTATATGGCCTTGTTCCCGCCCACTTCTCCACCCCCATCTGGCACCAGTGCCCCTTGCCAGACAGCTCTCCAGCTGATCTAGCTGATATGGGGCATGCAGATCTGGCTAATAAGTGCTCTGCCCCTCCCTTTTCAGGACAATAATGGTGTGATTGGGCTCTTAGAGCCCATGAAGAAGAGCATGGTACCCGTGCAAGTGCAGCTGAGTGTGCCTGTGGTGAAGGTGGCCTCGGGTAAGTCTGGGGTCACTTGCTCTGGGCAGGAGTTGGAGAACCTTGTTCTGGTGCTGGCCCTGCCTTGGACGTTACAGACAAGCCCTGCATCTCCTGCCTTCTTCTCACCCTCAGGAAATGACCACTTGGTGATGCTGACAGCTGATGGTGACCTCTACACTTTGGGCTGCGGGGAGCAGGGCCAGCTGGGCCGTGTCCCTGAATTATTTGCCAATCGTGGTGGCCGGCAGGGCCTTGGTAGGTGGCTCAGGTCCCTCTAGCAAGGCAACTTAGCAGTCTACCCCCTGATGAAGGTCATAGGCAGCAGGGATTCTCTGTGTGTGTTTAGGCTTATATCAGATAGATTTTCGGTGGTTGTTAAGAACTTTGACTCTAGCTGGTAGCTTAGTTGGTTGGAGCATTGGCTTGATACACCAGGGTATGGGTTTCATCCCCGGTCAGGGTACATATAGGAGGCAACCAATAAATAAATGAGTGGAGCAACAAATCGAGGTGTTTTTTTTCCATCTCTCTCAAATCAATAAAAAATAAAGATAAATTCACTCTTATTTATTTTTTAAATTATTTTTATTAATTTGTTTTTGTTACAGATGTTTCTCCTTTTTCCCCCACTGACACCCTCCTCCCCATCCCTCCCACTCCTTCCTCAGCTTTGTTGTCTATGTCCATTGGTTATGCATAAATTCACACTTATTTAAACAAGTAAAAAAGAACTTTGATTCTAAAGCCAGGCAGCCCTGGTTTGGCATCCTGGTTCTGCCACCTACTGGTTTTTGGACCCTGGACATAGTTTCCTCATCTCTAAATTTTTTTTTTCCTGTATTGTTTTTTAGAGAGAAAGGAAGGGAGAGGGAGGGGGAGAGAGAGGGAAACATCGATGCAAGCGAACATCGATTGGCTGCCTCCTGCATGCCCCCCCACTGGGGGTCAGGCCCACAGCCTGGGCATGTGCTTTGACCCGGAATCGAACCGGTGACCTCTTAGTGCATGGGTCAACACACAACCACTGAGCCACATGGATGGCCTTTTTATTTTTTTTGTACGTGCCCCTAGCGGAAACCAAACCCAGGATTCTCCAGTCCACAGGCCGATGATCCAACTGCTGACCCAACCCAGCCAGGGCTGGCTTTTTTTTTTTTTTCTTAGTTTCCTCATCTCTAAACCTACCTCCCTCGTTGGGTTGTTGCGGAGTTAAATTAGTTAACAGAGAAGAATGGTGGGCACCTGGTAAGACCATGTAACTATTACCTCTTAGGGCTGTGGGCATCTGAGTGAGGCACTTGTACTCTCTTGGCCTCAGTTACCTCTTCTGTGTAATAGAGAAAAAAGTCACTGCTTAGCCTCCCTCTGAGGGTTTTAGTAATGTGGGAGGAAACTGACTTGGGGCAGACAGGAGAGGCCGTGTGTGTCTGCCGGTGACCTTGGCTTCTCTACCTGCAGAACGACTCCTGGTCCCCAAGTGTGTGATGTTGAAATCCAGGGGAAGCCGGGGCCATGTGAAATTCCAGGATGCCTTCTGTGGCGCCTACTTCACCTTTGCCATCTCCCTTGAGGGCCATGTGTATGGCTTTGGCCTTTCAAACTACCATCAGCTTGGTGAGTCCCAAACCCAGCACCTGGCTTAGCCAGAGTGACCTAGGTTCCAATCCTAATCCACTACTCACTTGTTGTACACTCTTATTGGAGTCACCCCTCAGAGCCACAGTTTTGTCATCTGTAAAGTAAGAATATCCTTATGCTGGTGGGAGATAAGGTAGCCTTAGTGTGGGAGGGGATGAAGAAAGACAGTTCCTTGGACACCTTCACCCCTGACAACTATGTCCTGGCCTTGCCTCACAGGAACCCCAGGCACAGACTCTTGCTTTGTACCTCAGAACCTGACATCCTTCAAGAACTCTACCAAGTCCTGGGTGGGCTTCTCTGGTGGCCAGCACCATACAGTCTGCATGGATTCAGAAGGTGATCCCTTGGCACAGGCCTGGCCTGACTCCTGAGACCATGGCTCTTGGAACCTAGGTCTGCTCCAAGGGTTGAGCCAGATGGGAGTCCATGAGGGTCACATCCATCCCCCAGAGTCCTAGTGCTCTTCCAAGTATAAGTTCAGTGGGGGCCTATGACGGTTGTTCCAGGCCTCCCCCAAAACTGGAAGAGACACTGTAGACCTCCTCACAACCTTGGGAATGGGGACCCAGCTCCCATGGTTATAGAAACTCACGTGGCCGACCTGGAACATGCCCTCTGTTACTCCTCCTCTCTCTCCCTCCTCCCACAGGAAAAGCGTACAGCCTGGGCCGGGCTGAGTATGGGCGGCTGGGCCTTGGGGAGGGTGCTGAGGAGAAGAGCATACCCACCCTCATCTCTAGGCTGCCCGCCGTCTCTTCAGTGGCTTGTGGGGCCTCTGTGGGATATGCCGTGACCAAGGATGGTGAGTGGAGCTGCCCACACTCGGTCTGGTTGGGGCCTGGGGGTTGTGATTCTTAGCAAATTGCCCAGCAGACTCTGATGTCCACCATCAGATGGAGCTGAGATGCAGAAAGCAGTGTTTATAATAACCTGGTTTTTCTCCTGATTGTCAAAAGCTCTGGCTTTGATGAGCTTAAAATGAGTAAACAAATTATTAGTATTATTTTTTAATCCTCACTTGAGGATGTTTTTCCATTTATCTTCAGATAGAGTGGGAGGGTGAGAGAGAGAGAGAAACACGGACGTGAGAGAGACACGTCAGTTGGTTGCCTCCTGCACAACTCTGACCAGGGCCAAGGACCAAACCACAACCAAGGTATGTGCCCTTGGCTGGAATCAAACCCGAGACTCTTTTGTCTACGGGCTGATACTCTAACTGCTGGGCCAAACTGGCCAGGGCTAAAGAGATTATTTTAATAAAGGTGATTCATTCTGTGGAGGAGAAAAACAGCAAAGGGGAATATGTAACTGAGACCCAGTCAGGCAGTAGGACTTGAACCCAGGTCTCTAGACTCCTAACTTGGGTTTTTCTTTACATTTTCCACCATGGTGACCCCTTTATTTACAACCTTGTATGTGCCAGCTTTGCAGGGAGTTATACTTAGAATTTTATTAGGAGAAAGAAGGCTTAGTATTCGGGGTTCTGGCAAGCACAGCAGAGGAGAGTACAAGCGAGTAGTCCCGAAAGCCTGAGTGGGTGACGGTCGCATCCATGGGTCCCTTGCAAAGTGAGGCTGGTGGAGGTGCTTGATCTGGGATTATCTGGGAAGTGTTACTGAGGAAGTGGGCCTTGTACTACACCTTGAAGGTTTATGATAAGCAAAGGAGGGATTCTTGGGCACAGAAACATCCAGAACAGTCTGAGAGGTAGCTGGTCCTTGGAGTGGAGGGTGCTGTAGGGTTTTGGGAGTGGCCAGTCATGTAGGGTCTTGAATGCCATGTCAAGGAGTAAGGGAGAAGTCTTTGGCAGTGTGTAAGGACTGTGGTTCCAGGATGACAAAGCTCTTATCCATCATCTTCTTGGCTTTTTCCAGCTTCTCTGAATTCCCAGAGGCTGGGACATTGCCAGGCTGCTATAGGCCAAAGCTGAAATTCACCCTTATGTCCCAGGCTTCTCTCACTACAGAAAGGTGAGGCCAGGGATCTTGAAGACAGCTGCCCCTTTTTCTCTCTTGTAGGTCATGTTTTTGCCTGGGGAATGGGCACCAACTACCAGCTGGGCACAGGGCAGGAAGAGGATGCCTGGAGCCCCGTGGAGATGACAGGCAAACAGCTGGAGAACCGCGTGGTTCTGTCTGTGTCCAGCGGTGGCCAGCATACAGTCTTACTAGTCAAGGACAAGGAACAGAGTTGATGAAGCCTCTGAGGTCCTGGCTCCTGGCCCCTCCCTCCTCCCTTCTGGAACATGGAAGCCGTGATGACTACAGACTCCAGCAGGCCTCCCCCAGCCCCAAGTACTTTGTCATCTCCTGCCTTTTTTCAGTCCACAGAACAGAATCACTTTCTTCTTTTTCTTCCTGCTTTCTGGAATCATCCTGTTACTACAGGATGAAGGGGGGAATGGAAGAGGGGAGCGGGCTTTGTTGGAATGTTGCTCACCCCAGAACTATGTGATTAGACCTTTCCCCCTCATCTCTACCTCTTGGCTGACCCTGGTTTTGTCTACCAACACCAAAATTTCTTCCCCTGGGGGGTTTGGTTCCCACACCCTGAGAAGTTGGGACTCCATCAAGCCCTACTCTAGTCATGTGCCACTCTTCCTGTCCTTCACAGCCCACAGGCAGACGGATGATACAGCTGTCAGATCCTGCTGTCATATACCTATGCCTGAGGGAAACTGGAGAAGGGGCAGGGTTACCAGCCATGAGCAGGCCCAAGCCAAATATTTGGTTTTGAACAGGTGTGCAAGGGGCAGGAAAAAAATGATCCTCCACTTGATCAAGAAAAAAGCCAATCAGCCTTTCTCCTGGAAGCACAAAGCATTCTGCCCTGCACTGCCCATCCAGCCTCCCACACCTGCAGCTAAGGGCCTGAAATCTGGAAAGGAAGCTAGGCCTGCAAAACAGGACGGAGGGGAGAGGGGAAGGAGGGTTTCATAAACAGCAATATTGAGAGTGAAAGGAGGGCAGGGAAGAGGGTTGGATGGGCAGAGGCTGGGCCCCAGAAAGGGAAGCAGCAACTTGTACAGTGTCTGAGAAAACAGCAAGCAGTTTGATTTTTTTTTTAAATGTAAAGTATTTTAGAAAAGAGAGTGAAATCTTTTAACATTTTGAATAAATTTAGAGTTTTATAAAACAGGCCACTTGTTTTCTACACACTCCCTGCTTTTTTAAGGGAACATTGGTTGTGTTGGGAAGGGCAGGATAAACCCACACCTGTGAACTCGGTCAAGACCAGGACTTAGGTGATGTCAGGATGTCCTGACATGTGCCTGTCAGCTGTTGATGTGACTGTTCCATACAAATCAAAAAGTTGATTTTTGCTTAGGTATTTATGTTTCAGAAATCAGTGTATTTTTTAAAAATTATGCTGCATAATATGAGAGGCATGGGATGGTTCTTTCAGCATCTTAATCCCAAACGAAGACAGTACATCTCTAGAAATACTTATACTAAGCTTGCTGTTGTGTAATTTTCAACAGCTGATGTAATTGATTAACTGCACAGTAACTCTTAAGACAACTTATCATATTGTAGATTTTCACAGGCATTTGAGCAAACAAATCATAGAGCTGACCTGTCCAATATAGTAGGTCACTAGCTACATGTGGCCATTTACATTTAAATCAATTAAAATTTGTAAAGATTTTAAATGAACTTTTTCTGTTGTACTAGCCATATTTCAGTTCCACAGTAATTACATGTGGTTAGTGCCTATGGTATTGGGCTATGCAAATATGGAAATATATAGAACATTTCTATAATTGCAGAAAGTTACAATTGATATCATTGATATAGAAGGTCTGTATATGTATAACAGGAAAGTTTTATTAGTGCCAGGAGGATTCTTCTTGGATATCAGCGACTCTTGGAAAAATGAATATAATGTAAATTAACTTAAAATGTATTCTGTGATTTTTTTTTCCCCTTCCTTTGAACTTTTATTTTTGATGCAGGCACTATACTAATTAGAAATTGACTTTGTAGAAGGAAAAAATCACACTTGATTCTATTTTCTTTGTAAAGAAGCACTTGTGTATCTGCTCTTCCCCCGCCCCTCCCCACCAAAGTACAATTGGATTAGATGTACTGGAGTTTTTCCCTTTTGACAATATAGCAGGTTGAAAGTACCCTGTTCTTAATAATAACTCTTATGGATTGGGGCTTAAAATGGGCCAGGCATTGATAGTTTGTCTAATCCTCACATCAGCCCTTGAAGGTAGTAATTGTTATCCCTGAAGAAACAGTCCCTGAGAGGTCACGTGACTACAGGTTAGGCCGGAATCTAAATCAGCTCCTGCCTGAGCCCAGAACCTCAATTCCTTTTCCTTGTATTGCTTGTAAGAGTTATAGAGCTCTACATATATTACGTGCTTTACATATATTAGAACACTGTCAGGCACGTAATAACTGCTCTGTAAGTCTTTGCTATTATAATTATTACACATTTTTTATTCCCTGGAGTTAATAATTGCTTTGTTTTTCAAGTGCTTATTTTTATCTTCCCCCATTCTCCTCCAACTTGGATTGGTTACCCCAAAAACAAATGTAGTCACAGTACCCCATATGGCTCATCTATAAATAGCACTGACAAAGTTGAAATAATGTAAATGTTCAGTACTGCTTTCACAAAAATTGTATTTAAAAAAATGGAGAAGTGTGTATGTAGGAGAGGCAGTTGCTTTAAATATCTGAAAATATAAATGAAGAGGAAGTATGTTATTTAGAAATATGCAGGACGATTTTAGGGAACAGATTTGCCCCAGTAGAGTTAGAGTTGGGGGTAAGGAGAGATGCGGTAAAAGGACTGCTGTTTATGTCATAAATTCAGCAAATATTTTTTTCAGTGCATACCTATCCCAAAACTGTAGGAATTTGATTAGAAACAAATGTGCAGATCCCTGTCTTGTGAAGTTTATATTCTAAATTAAGAATACATAAATTTTTCGCTCTGGCTGGTTTGGCTCAGCGGTTAGAGCATCGGCCTGCAGTCCGGAGAGACCTGGGTTCGGTTCCCGCTAAGGGCACGTACCTCGGTTGCAGTTTGTCCCCGGCCCTGGTTGGGTTGTGTGGGTGGCAGCCACTCGATGTGTCCCTTTCACGTCAATGTTTCTCTCGCTCTCTCCCTCTCTTTCCCTCCCACTCTATCTGAACAAAAAATGGAAAAATGTCCTCAGGTGGGGATAAAAAAAAAGATATGTTTTTCTGTATTTAAAAATAATAAGCAAAGAGCACAGCACAGGTTGTCAAATGCTACTAAATATATCACTGTAAGTTACCATCTGAAGGCCTCACAACACCCTATGTGTTGAGCACTGTTATTCCACAATAGCCTCAGAGAGGTTCAGGAACTTTGCCACAATAATTGAGAAGGGACTGGGATTGGTGCTCCATTTGTTTGAATCTACAGCCAAAGTACCCAACCACACTACACTACTGTTGCAGTGAGTAGGATAAAGCTGGAAATCAAGCAAATCATGGTTGGATCTCAAGTTTTCAGACCAATAATTAACACCAACAGAAGCATCTCATTCTGAGAAATGGGCACTAAAGTGAGACAGTAGCCTGAGCCACTGTCCAACTGTCAAGATAATCTAGTCATCGAAATCATGTTTACTGAGGCCTTCCATGGGCAGGTCACTGTTCTGGGACAGGTTCAAGTTCTGGCGGTTTGGATTAGGGTAGTGAAATGTGGGACTCAAGAAAGAATAGTAACAAGACTTGAGGGTTGCCCCCCCCCCCCCCCCCCCGGGCTCAGTGGTGGTTGAGCGTGGACCCCATGCACCAAGAGGTCCTGGGTTCTCAATTCATGGTCAGGGCACATGCCAGGTTGTGGGCCAGATCCCCAGTCCAGAGGTATGCAGGAGGTGGCCGCTGGATGTTCTCATGGATGTTTCTTTCTCTCCCTCTCCCTTCCTCTCTCAAATCAATAAAGAAAAAAAATTCTGTAACATAAATAAATAAAAAGAAAAAAATTATATATATATATAAAAAAAGACTTGAGGATTGACTGGTTGAGAGGACAGAATTGCCTCAATCTACACTCCGTTCAATCCTCCCCCGCCTCCCAGGTCTATACACGGAAATGATGGAAGAATCTCATTCTAGCTTCAACAAAAATCATGTCTTTCGAACTGGGTAGCTTGTTCACAGGTCACACAGTGGAGCTGGATCGTCCGGGATCCCAAAGGGGACCTTTCACCTTAAAAAAAACTTGTATTTGCAAGTTTTTACAGTGAGCATATATTACTTTTGTAATGTTATATGTACGTGTGTTTAAATACATACAGTCTGAGAGAAACCAGAAAAAGCCAGTTATCCGGGCAACCCCCCGACCCGCGCAGGGTGAAGTCCACCCAGCGCTCTGCCGCGGACTCGGCTCTGAATGCGCCCTGCTGAGTCTGCGGGGGAAAGTTCGGAGCGTGCGCGGAAGGCGTCGTAGGCGCATGCTCGGTGGCGGTCCCGGGCCGCAGCGCGGGCGCCAGCGCGGAGCGCCCCCTAAGTCCGGGCCTGGCTGCGGCATGGCTGCCAGCCTGTGGATGGGCGACGTGAGTGAGGGCGGCTATCAGGGTCCGACGAGGAGGAATCTTAGTGTCGGCAGGGAGGAAGGGTCTGAGGGGAGGGGTCCTCGGATCTCAAAAAGATGGATGTAAATGGGAAGGGGAGTTCTTTTGGGTGAAGTGGGTCCCAGCATCCAGGGGTCGGGCTGATTCTGAGGGGGAGGGGTCCTGAGGCCTCGCCTGGGTTCATGGAAGGGAAAGGGAGGTTCTTTGGGGACTGAAAATGGAAGGAATCCCAAGGATTTTGAAGGGCTCTTTGGTATTAAGATTGGAGGTTCCAAAATCCAAAAAGAAGGCTCCCTAAAGGGAGCAAATTTAAAGGGAAGGGATGCCAGAGGTTAGAAACGCGGGAGTTGGGGTTCAGACCACTCTGCATTTGAAACCCTGTCCACACACCCCCATCCGCGCCGGCAGCGTGTAGCCAACCCTGGGGCTGAGGGGACGGGGCTCTGGACCCGGAAGTGTGGAGCCTGCCTGCTTGCTGGCCTGAGTCGCTCTGCCCTTGTATTTACGCAGCTGGAGCCCTACATGGATGAGAACTTCATTTCCAGAGCCTTTGCTACCATGGGGGAGACCGTGATGAGCGTCAAAATTATCCGAAATCGCCTCACTGGGTACGTTCTCTCCTTATATCTTTCAGTTCTCCTTTAATTGTGCTGCAGGTGTCATTCGGGTGATTGTAAACATCATAGAGAGTCAGGGCTTCTCACCCCTAATAATAGTTGTTATAATATTATAAAAGCTAACGTTGGGGGCTTATTGAAAGGACGCATAGCATATGCATGCTGGAGCCAGTCTGTCTGAAAGCTATGTCTGCTGTTTGACCTTTGGTAAGTTACTTAACCTCTCTGTCTCTTTCACTTGGACTATAAAAATGCAGATGATTATAGCATCTGCTTCATAGAGTTGTGGTGAGGATTAAATGAGTTAATTAACATTCAGCATTTAGAATAGTGTCTGCCATATGGCATGTGTTCAGTAAATATAAACAGATTATGATCTGTTAGGTAATAAATACTTTAAAATAACTTTATAAAATGACAAAAACTTCTGAGCAAAGTACTAGTATTAGGGAAGCTTAATAACTATCTTAAAGTTACACAGCTATTAGATGACAAGCTAGTACTTAAATTCAATTCTATCCTCAAGCCACAAGTACCCTTAACTTTTATGCCATTCATTTAAAAATGTATTTATAGATGCCCAGCCAGTGTGGCTCAGTGAATTAAGCATCATCCCAGGGACTGAGAGGTCCCGATTAGATTCCTGGTTATGCCCTGGTTTCCAGCTGATCCCCAGTTGGGGGACATGCAGGAGGCAGCCGATCAATGTTTCTCTCTCTCTTTTTCTTTCTCTCTTAAAAAAAAAATCAATAAAAATTTATTTATAGAGATGCTATGTAGTACTGTTCTAGATTCCCATGAAACAAGCCAGACATAGTCCCTCCTCTCATGGAGTTTACTACATTCTAATGGGGGGATGAGACAATAAGTATGTAAACAAATCCTGGCCGGTGTGGCTCAGTGGTTGAGCATCAACCCATGCACCAAGAGGTCACCAGTTCGATTCCTGGTCAGGGCACATACTCAGATTGTGGGCCAGATCCCTGGTTGGCATGCGAGAGGTGGCCAATCGATGTTCTCTCTCATTGATGTTTCTATCTCTCTTTCCCATACTCTTCCTCTCTCACTAAAACCAATAAAGAAAAAAAAAAATTTTTTTTAAAAAGAAGTATGCAGCCCTGGCTGATTTGGCTCAGCAGTTACAGCGTCGGTCTGCGGTCCAGAGAGACTCTGGTTCGGTTGCCACTAAGGGCGCGTACCTCAGTTGCAGTTTGTCCCCACCCTTGGTTGGTCGTGCAGGTGGCAGCCACTAGTGTCCCTTTCACGTCAATGTTTGTCTCTCTCTCTCTCTTCCTCTCTCTCCCTCCCACTCTATGGAAAAATGTCCTTGGGTGAGGATTCAAAAAAAAAAAAGTATGCAAACAAAACATTGCAAAGAATATTTTCAGATAGGGGTGCTCTATTGCCTCCAGTTTCTTCTTTCTCTTTGGGGGTCTTAATTTTCTTTAGGGTTCTAGTTAGAAGTGAGAGGTTTCCTTTACTAATTTGACAGTGGTTATTGAGCATCTACTCTTTGCCAGATACTCTACTAAAACAGTTTGCTAAATCATCAAATGATTGAATGTATAGATGAGAAATATGAAGTGTGGTCAACTTCAAGTGTTTGGTTGAAAGGTACTTTGTGTATTCAGAACCCAATACCCAGGGACTGATTTTTTGACTGGTGGATCATGCTGACCTAACTATTTTTCTTGCTCCTGTAGACAGAATACCCCACATAATGAGCTCCTAGTTTGAAAATTCATTCCAGAGAGAGAGGAAGGGGGGGAGAGAGACAAACATCAGTGTTAGAGCCATACATTGATGAGCTGCCTGCTGCAAGCCCCTTACAAGGGAATGAACCCTCACCCTGGGCATGTTCCCTGACCAGGAATTGAACCGATAGCCTTTTGGTGCAAGGGACAACAACAAACCAACTAAGCCACACCAGCCAGAACAAAGACTTTGAAGTGGCTTAAAAGAATACTGTAAAATAAATAAATGTAAACTTAAAAACAAGACCAGAGAAAATAAGGGGAAAAAATAAAACTAAAGGAAAAATAACATGCAATAGAGAATTGTGCTTTAGAAATAAATGCAGTGAGTGGTTGCACAAATTATTGTACTTCATACCATAGTACACTCAGAAAAGATAAAATGAGCCCTGGCTGGGTTTCCCAGTGGTTAGAGTATCGGCCTTTGGATTGAAGGGTCAGCCTGGTCAAGGGCACGTACCTGGGTTGCAGGTTCGATCCCCAGCCCGGGTCAGGGTTGTGCATCGGAGGCAACCAATTGATTGTCCCTCTCTCTCTCATCAGTATTTCTTTTTCTCTCAATCTCTTTTTCTCTCTTCCTCCCTCCCTACCACTCTATATAAAAATCAGTGGAAAAATATCCTCAGGTGGGGATTAACAAAAAAAAAATGGTAAAATGATAAATTTTATGTATATTTAACCACCATTTTTGACATTTAAAAAAGGAAAAAAGGAATGCAGTTAGATGTAGAATAACCACATCTCTCATTCATCATTGGTGGTACTATATAATGGTACAGCCAATGGGTACAACTAAGTCCTAGGTGTTTAATCAAGAGAAATGAAAGCTATAGCCACCAAAAACAGGACTGGTAAAAGAATCTTCAGAGCACCTTTATGATAGTGGCCAAAAGCTACAAGCAGCCCACATATCTGTCAGTAGGTTTTGGTGTAGTCATACTATGGAATAATACCATTTAGCAATAAAAAGGAATAAACCAGCCCTAGTCAGATGGTTCATTTGGTTGGAGCATCGTCCCATACACCAAAAAGTTTCAGGTTCAATCCTGTCAGGGCGTGTACAGGAGACAACTGATCCATGCCTGTCTCTCCCTCACACTTCCTTTCTAAAAATTAATAAAAACATATCTCTGGCCCTGACCAGTTTGGCTCAGCAGTTGAGTGTCGGCCTGTGGACCAGAGTCCCGGGTTTGGTTTCCGCTAGGGGCACGTACCACAAAAAAAACAAAAACATATCCTCGGGTGAGTTTTTTTTTTTTTTTTTTTTTTAAAGGAACAAACTACTTACATAATAACAACATGAATGATCTCAAAAGCATTACACTACATGAAAGAAGGCTTGCTGTATGATTGTACTCATTTAAAATTCTAGAATATAGATTTCACCTCTCCTATCCTGTTCTCTTCCTCCCTTCCTGACCCCTCCTTCCAAATCCTTTCTGCCCCTTTAACATCCTATCTACAGTTCCCCCACATTCCTTTATTGCCATCTTCTCACTTTCCTGGACCTCCACCTTCCTGTCTCAATTGTCCTTGTCCCTCAAGTGCTTAACTCTGTCTTTTCTTAAGACCCTCATTCCTAGTATTCCCTTAATCCTCTCTGTTTCTAAAATGACCCCTCTTTCCACAAGCTCCGTGTCCCTCCGCCTTAGGGGACCCTCTCACCCATGAAGCCCTACCCCAACCCCCACCCCCAGCTGGCGCCCAGAGGCCCCCTGGCACAGTATAGTCTGGGGGAACATGGCCACTTCTGGTCTCCCTCTCAGGCCTGCGCTGGCCAGACCACAGTCTCTGTCCAGGGCACTCCGCCCTCTGCTCCTTCCATCTAAAAATGTGAATGGATGGATGGATGGATGGATGGATGACTGAATTTCTAGAATATACAAAATTAATCTGGTAGAAATTAACAGTGGTTCTCAACCTTCCTAATGCCGTGACCCTTTAATACAGTTCCTCATGTTGTGGTAACCCCCAACCATAAAATTATTTTCATTGCTGCTTCGTAACTGTAATTTTGCTACAGTTATGTTTTAGGCGACCCCTGTGAAAGGGTTGTTTGACCTTCAAGGGGGTCGTGACCCACAGGTTGAGAACGAAAGATCTAGAAGATTTGTACATTTCATTGCATGTAAACCAAAAGAGAAAAAAACTTAACAATAATTGAGCTCTAGTTCACAATGTTCATGTTAAAGTAATTGAGGGAAGTATACCAATATCTGCAGCTTACTTTGCAATGCATCAAGGAAATAAGGATAATAAATGGGTAGAAAGATGGATAGTTGGATAAAATAGTATTGTAAAATATTCGTTATAGGTGGTACATATGTGGGTGTTTACTGTACAATTATTTCAGTTTTTATGTTTGGAATTTTTCATAATAAAATGTTGAATAAAGAATGTAGACACACTATCCTGAATTCAAATCCAACCTTTGGTACATACCAGCAGTGTGCTTTAAGGCTTATTGTATAATCCTGTTAAGTCTCCATGTTATATAAATGAGTGTAATGCTTTTATTTGCCTCATAAAGTTGCGTGAGGATTAGATGAGATAGTGCGTGTGAAGTGGTTAGCACAGTGCCTGGCCCTAAGTGAGTGCTTAGTAGTGGTCAACTCTTACAGGTGGTGGCGGTGTTGACGTCTGTGAGCCTTACCATTCCAGCACACACAAAACAGATTTGACCCACCATTTTTTTTTTAACATCAACAAACATTTATGAAGCTCATAGACTCTGTGATCCTTGGGCTCAGGTACTGCTCTTGCCCATACTTTCTTGGTTTTGTGTCCTTAAGGTTATTTCAACTGAAGATCTAAAGTAGTATTTCCAGAAAAGTGTAGATTCTGTCACTGGTAATGGCTTTAAAGTTGATGTTAAGAAAGTTAACACTTTTCGCCCTGGCCGGTTTGGCTCAGCGGTTAGAGCATCGGCCTGCGGTCCAGAGAGACCCGGGTTCGGTGTCCGCTAAGGGCACGTACTTCGGTTGCAGTTTGTCCTCGGCCCTGGTTGGTCGTGCGGGTGGCAGCCACTCGATGTGTCCCTTTCACGTCGATGTTTCTCTCTCTCTCTCTCCCTCCCACTCTATCTGTACAAAAAATGGAAAAATGTCCTCGGGTGAGGATAAAATAAATAAATAAATAAAACAGATTACTCCTTTAAAAAAAAAAGAAAGAAAGTTAACACTTTTCAGTATCTCTTAGTAGGAAGGGATGTCAGAGGCTACAGCCACATCTTCCTAT